CTTTATTAATGCTTGGTGACAGAAGATGAGCTATCTTGGGGTGCAGGGAAAGTGCTTATGTTGGACCCAAAGACTTGTAATTGGAGCCGCTACTTGATTTTTTGTCACCAGAGGCGGGTGGGATGGGGAATTTTCAGGTTGATTGTGAATCCAAGACTTCCCCAACAAAGCTGGACTTGTCAAAAGTAGATTTCACAGTGTGAGGAGATGGCCAGGGTCACCAAATGAAACAAGACTGCTCCAGCACGCCTACACGGGGGCAACACTGCACTCAAAGCACTGCGCACGAGCCAATTTCTATTGAAGAAACAAGGTACAAAGAATCTCCCATATGGATACTAACAGGATTTGCCGGTGTCTGGGGAAGATTATAAATTAGCTGGTTGCTGTTCACATCAGGGCCAAGTGGGGCACATTCAGCTTTTAATCTGGACCAATTTTCCGGATCAAAAACTGGTCTTTCCAAAGGATGTAAATGAGCCCAGGAGGAAATTTTTTTCCTCCTGAAGTTTATAAAATAGCTGTCATTTTAATCTGAGCAGCTTTCCAACCTGAAAGCCAGTGTCTGGATGGAATTATAAAGTAATGAAAAATTTGTCTAGGCTGAACATAGTCCAAACACTCCTTCTACCTCAAATTTGATGTATTTAATATGCTAACCTGTTTAACAGGTGGAGTTTCCACTATCAAGTCCCCATCCATGCTTCAAATAAAGCCAAAGAGGCCAACATGACACAATCATGGCACGACTAGCAGAGTGAGGCTCTGGATAAGCCAGGTAGAAAACATTTCTAGGAGAGGAGCTACAAAAAATAAGAAAGGAAATATGGTGAATCTTATGAGCCATTTGTACAGCAAGGTTTTGTAAAATGCTTTGTAAAAAAAATCTGCTTAAATGATTGAAATCTATCCTTAAAAGCACATTGCATACACAATGTTTAAGAACTACAGACAGAAGTACACACTGTCCAAAATTGTGACTAGATGGTCTTATGTGAATAAATAAACCCATAGAATGCAATTAATCATGATGTGGTTACTTTACGGAGGAAAAATTAGCCAGAAGCCCTCCACTGAAATCCTGGTAGATGTGTGTGCGTGTGCACGTAGGAAAAGAAACTAACATAATATTACCTTGGACTGCTGCTATTGTCTTCAAAATGAATGAACAGTGGAAACAGGGAAATAGAATAGCTCATAATTTAAGTATGCTGCAGATTATGGTAATGTTCTCAATTTCAAGGCAGGTAGCAAGGCTCGGGTGATAATAGATACAGTCTGAAGAGGGAGGGTGTCTCCCAGGGCTGAAAGGCAACAAGTCACACTGCCAAATGGAGAGATCCTTGAAGAGCAAATATATTTAAGCAGCCATATGGGAATCTGCCAAGATGATTTCCTTTGCCCTCTGATCAATTTCCCCTGGTCTGTCTCTTTCTTATAAAAACGCCACTTGCAAAGACAAACTGCACTTTCTGCAAAGTTTTGCAGACTGCGTTCAAATAAAGTTATATTGTTTTCCATTGTTCGTAAGATATAATTAATTCCATAAGACAACCTTGCTTACAAAGTAAACTAAGAAAAAACAGATTTTTCAGGATTCTAAATATAGTGTCAGCAAAGAAAAAGAAAAATCGTTATTCAGGGAAAACAATGGCTGGAGCTTTATTGCTCAGAATGTTCTACTTTCAATAACCTCACAACGCAGGCCAAATCAAAGTAAACAAAATAGAGGGAGATTTTTTACCCGTGTAACTAGAGGAAATGCAATTTATTGCGTTTCAAGTTCTCTCCAATTCTTTCTAATAGCCTACAACCCATACATTTTGTTTAAATCTCAGAGAAAAGGCAGGAGTTCAGAACCAGATGGCATGAACCCACTGGGTGCTTCTTTCTGAGACAGTGGCCTCAGAGTGCAAGAGAATCCTGACATTAGAGGCCACGTCCCTACACTGTGCGTGGGCAGGACCAGAGATGGGCAGAGGGGACTCCAGGCAAATCCTCAGCCACTTCACAGGAAATGGCTGGGCTCTGGACAATATGAATTCAATAAGACGTTTGGAGACACAGGAGGAGCCGTCTGACTGCACAGTTGCAATCCTCCGTAATTGAGACAGCATGATCGCTACCCCAGCCCCAGCTCTGTGATCAGATGCAGAGCCTCCCACCTCTGCAGAGCCTGCATAATAGATCATTCCCTTAACAAACAAATATCCCTGGAACCGTCTGGGCCCGCGGGGGACTGGGGGGGAGGATGGGGGGGGATTGCATCTTTTCTCAGCCCTGGGCAG